TTATGTCTATTGAGAGCTGATTTGATGAGATAACCACTTGTTGGTGACCTTGCAGGGAGGTCTAATCTCTTCTGGCCAAACTAGTACAGACGGGCTTTAATCAATCTAATGTTATGCCTACTCCTCTCTGTTTTACTGCCTCTGATAATCCCTACATCCTAATCTGCCCGTCTCCTTGTCCACCGCATCATTACTCCTACCGGTATAACCACAAACCCCATCCTACTCCGCCCTAATTCATAAATGATTCCCTCTTGAGAAAGGATAACACTCTCATAGATGCCAACACAAGGGATGACAACATACTTCAGCAATTCCATTAACTTAATTTACCAGAGATTTGCATGATAATTTCAGGAGCTTTACCTACTGAATGATTTAAAGAGGAATGGAGTGCATATTAAATAATATAATAATAATAATAATAATAATAATAATAATAATAATAATAATACAGTTATTTATAGTGCATTTCACCGCTGTTGCATCTCTATACACTTATGAAAAAAGATATAAAAGGGAGAAAAGGTACTGAAAACGCCTGACTAAATTATAATTCAGTCATGATGCTGTATAAACAAGTATGTTTTAAGAAAAATTTCAAAGTAAATTTATAAGTAAATGACCATTCCCCACAAAACTCGGTCTGAACAACTGGACATTTCAAGATGTTTTTCTGAGCTGATCTCAGATAATGCAGGAGGGTGCATACTGCCAATACTAATCATCAGAAACGAACAATCATTAAAAGGATTTTAACAATGACAAAACTAAGATCAGATGAAAGTTTGCAAATATAAGATAATATCTCATTGCAGAATTGAAGAGACAATTAGAGAAGGGGTACAGTAGAAGAGAAAATGTATATCTAAACAGTAATACATTTCTCTGAATAAGGAAAACATGTACAACATATTTTGTCTGTTTTGATACCTAAACTGTTGATCAAACATACAACACTTAAACAAATCCAACCCTGAGCAGTGAATACACAATGAACCGAAATCCTGTCATAGTTTATGAAACCATAATGAAATTTGTTTATATTTACATCATCATGTAGATTTTCATAAAAAAATAAAGAGTAACATAATCAAAAAGCAACAATCTGTATATTAATAATAATGATAACAATATATATCTTGTTTACCCAGGGTAGCCTTATTATTAATACTGCACTCCCCTTTTTTGTTACCCCAATAATCCACTGTATCCTTCTCCCGAATGAAAATGAAATTTCACATCATTCATTGAAACTCAGTCATGTCCCAGTTGCCCAGGGGCTCCTATGCATTTTAATGTAACTCTGACAGGATGTCACCCATTTCGAATGGTTTAACATTATAGAAGCTGCCCTGGATGTGTCAATTTTTACCAGTTGTTTTTCTCCCTTTCTCTTGCATCCCCAACAAGTTTTGTTAGTTCTCATGTGACTTATTATTCAGTCAAAGCTGGTTTTATGAAACTCCCAGTTTTTACCTCTTTCTATTCTCTGTAACACATTTTCTCTTTTTCATTTCCTGTTGTTCAGTAATCATTTATCGCAGCTCTCATATTCTTAAACCGTCTGCTATATCTGTCTTTTTACATGTGAATATCTACAGCAATTCATCATTCATATCGCCTTCTACATGTTTATTATCAGATGTTTCCCTTTTAGCTAATCAAATTGTCTTTTATCAGAGAAAAGCTCCCTGGATTGAGTTATCTTTCCTCCAATATGGTCCCTGTTTGCACTGTTCATCTGTCTTTGCCTTTTTTGACAGTTTTTATGCTGAAAGCAAGAAAGGTGTTAAAGTCATGATGAAAGATACAAGTTAATGTGACTTACATGATGATTAAATGTCTCTAACCTTGTACCAACTCTGAACCTATTCCTCCTATCCATTTATCTCCCCCCTCTCTCTCTCTCACTCTCTCTCTCTCTCTCTTGCTCTCTCCCTCTCTCACTCTCTCTCTCCCTCTCTCTCTCTCTCTCTCTCTCTCTCTCACAGTGCAAGAAGGGCATTAGCTCTGTATTGTAAGCTACCAAACCGGTAAGTAGTTAATGGTCTCCTGTCTCACCGTAGATGTCTTAGTGTCTTTTTACCTCGCATCGACACTCGACCCTCCCCTCCCCCTCCTCTCTCTCTCTCTCTCTCTCTCTCTATCTCTCTCTCTCTCATGATCCTGCATATAATGGTGATCATGATCTTGCCTTTCTACAAATTTTGTCTGCTGAGTGCAAGAAGGGCATCTGTTATTAAAAGCTACCAAACCGGTAAGTAGTTAATGGCCTCCTGTCTCACCGCAGATACCTCAATGTCTTTTTACCTTGCATCAACTCTTGACTCTCCCCTCTCTTTTTTGTCTGTCTCTCTCTTTCTCTCTCTCTTTCTCTCTCTGTCTCTGTCTTGCTCTCTCCCTTTCTCTCCTGAAAATAAGTATAGCATATAAGGAAGTAAAGTGTTTACATGGCTCGTTTAGATAGCTCTATGATTATGGGCCAAGTTAAATTTTGTCCCCTCCTCTCTACTTCTGGTAATTTCTCTCTTTTCCTATTTGTCTCAACAAATCTATTACCCGGTAGTCTGTCTCTTGCTCAATATTTTCACGTCTCTGTCTCTACATCTCTTATCTAGAAAACTTTATTTGCTGTTGGAAATACCTCATTTCATGTATAGAGTAAGAAAGAAGTGAACTCTGTTTCAAACGGATAAACATATGAACTTTAGGCCATATGGTGCTTTATTCAGACTTTTCATAACAATGCACTTATCCTTATCGTAAAGTCAATTCTGTGTCAGTGAACTGCAAGTAAATTACCTCTACTGCCTTGATTTATATATCTGACTGGCTACATTCTATGCACGCTGACATATCTCATTGCTCCTTTTCTTATTTCCATGCTTTCTAAACTAGATCACTGAAAATCATTTCATTCACTGCTAGATTAATTTCTAGCCATACCATGCAAAATCTCACTGCAACATTCATTTCTACCAATGCCAAGCAAAATGTCTCTCAAAGCTACCAATGCCATTCAGACAACATTCTCATTCTTATTGATATTTGGAATCTTGAATGTCGAGCCTTTCTAAACATCATCTCAAATACATCCGTCTTCTCCTCTTATCAGCTTCATTCACTTCCAAATCTCTCAAACATGAGATGCAGATGGTGACATTTTCAACGTCTACCTCCCTCCTCAAAATTCATAGAATTCCGGCTTCAAATCATTGAAACAGGAGCTTATGCTAAACCCCCAGATATATTTCTCTTTCATTATCGTAGATGAAAGCTTTGATAAACCTTTAATATCAATGCATGATAAGAGACTCCAACCGGCTTAGATTTCTTCTACTTATATCTGGAGACATTTTCATTTAAATTTTATTGGTGATTCTTCAACGACAATGATTGCAGACTCTAGTCTGACTCCCTCCTCTTCATAAAAGATAATCCTGTAGGGTGACTGCCACATTTTATCACATGTCGCAGGATTCATTAAAAGAAATTATAGAAGATCTTCAATATTAAAGGAAAGGAAAATATCTCTAAGTGACATTCATTGTTAATCTAGCTGTATAATATAATAATAAAAACATATGCCATTCTTGTATAGCACATATCACATTACGAAATAACATCTCTATAGGCCCGTCTTCACTATCTCGAGATTGCCAAATATCCAGCTATTCAAACTATCCTGATCGCAAACTATCCAGCTAATTTGCGTCTTCATTAGACTGAAGTAGCAAATTAGAGGGAGGGCGAAATTTTACTTGTTTACGTTTTACAGCGCGGGTAAAATCTTAAATCTGCACGCTGGTCGTACAGTCAGTCGCTGAAGTGCGCATGCGTCAATCTTGAGATTATTTTTCGAGCTAGTTGGTGATGAGCGTATTGGTCTAGTGAAGACGCAAATTAGCTGGATAGTTTGCGATCGGAATAGTTCAAATAGCTGGATACTTGGCAATCTCGAGATAGTGAAGACACGCCTTATGTGCGTCCAAGGACTTTGGATATTATTACCCCGCCTCTAGCTCTGGCAAACGTAGTGCTCAGTGCATTCAATGAATCAATCTACCCGGTGCCCACTTACTAAACCTGGGTCGAGAGTGGCAAATGCATACATGCCAACATTTGAAAATCAGAAATCTGTACAAATTATGCTATTTTAAAAAAAAAGAGGAACAATCCTAACTCTCCTATTCAATACTACAGACAAATTTGTACAGGAAGAGGAACACCTGCATTAAAATGATAATTATCTTCTCCCAAAAAGAGGAATGTTCCTCTTTAATCTGAACAGTTGGCATGTATGCAAATGCCGATTGATGTCTTGCCAAAGTACATTATGCAGAGAAATAATGACATTTAACAATTTAAAAACACTAGATGTATGAAAAACATGACTGGCATGCAAACTACAACAACAAGCAACTCTACAGCTCCAGTAAACTGTATTTCAATGTAGCTCACCGTTTGTTAGAAAAAGATGATATCCCTGGTTTTTAGAGATTCTCCGATTAACTTTTGATTCTATTTGCAACAGGTTTATTAGACAGAAGCCTTTTAAAAGTGCACCAATCGCCAATAATTTGTTTCATACGTGAGAAGTTCAATGTAGTAATTAAATCATGAGCTTCAAATATTATTTCTGTAAAGTGATGGCTTTACAGGTTCCTTGGAAAGATGGGACCTTTCAATGCTTCTTCATCATCGCTGAATGCCTTGTCAAAGTCTGATGTTGGTGACCAAGCATCTGAAACCTTTCCAATCCTGAGTCCCCTTTGGACTACCCCCGGACCATTCGCATCTGGAATCAACTACCAGCCACTGCAGTTACTGCCCCAACAGTTACTGCTTTCCAGATGACCGCCCTCCCATCAGAGGGTTAGAACCTCCTGTAGGTTCCAAAATGCTGTAAACCATATAGCAGCATGATTTTTTACTACCTTCACCTGCTGTCACAACACATACCATCCCAGTATAGCTTGGAAAAGCTGCTTCAGGGATTACCTCATCAAGTATCAAGTATAACCAAAGCATGGACCTACCTTTATAGTAGAGGTGAGTTCCTCGATGGATTCCGTCTCAGCGATCGCCGGCACATTGTAGTATTCACCTTCCTCCTGGCCGAGGAGCTTGTACCAGCCGTCGACGCCGGACTTCATCAGCTCCGAGATACCAAAGGAGAGGGCACCCATGAAGTCGTTGCGGGTGGCGCGGTCCCAGTCCCAGACCTCAACGAGAAGCCTGCGGTTCCTGTCCGACTCTTCCATGGTACTGCAGAAAGGGTTATCATAAAGTTTGTTGCGTAAAGTACACTATTGTTGGTATGGGGTATTAAAGGCAATCAACACATGGTGAGGTACATCATCCACTCAAATTTGTAGCGTGCCAATACATATGTGCAGTTGCAGATTCGAAGGAGACAGAAAGTCAACCATGACAGTCTTCAAAGATCTGGGCCCTGTTTCACAAAACTTGTTATCAATAACAGGTTCCAATGACTGTTATAAGCTACTGAAATCGTGGCATTTGATTGGCTGAGAGTAAATTTGTCATTGAAATTTAGCATTTGTTATAGATAACAAGTTTTATGAAACGGGGCCCTGGTCACTAGACCAAGAGTATTGACTGACCATTGGTCAGAAAAATGCACAAATCATCGGGCGAGAGCAAATAGGGCAATATGTCATTCACCTTTCCATAGAGTTAACTCTTTATACGACACACAAATAATTTCCCTGTGCCACATTGTATTTGTCATTGGATAAAATCAAAGGCTTCAAGATTATTAAACTGTTTCCTGTGCAAGATTAATCTATGCCGGTGCTATGGAAAGGTTATCATGGAGCTAATCAAGATCAGAAATTGGTAATTTTACAAAGATATTGCATTGAACAAAACAATCCATTTGTCAATTGGTGCCCATTATATTGTGCAAAACTGCACTCGTGGCAAACAAGCGGGCTTGCAGAGAGGTGAAGACAGCAACCAAGTTTTAATCTTCCTCTGGCTCTCGATCAGCCAATGGAATTACCCCTATACAGTGTGAGTCAAAAAAAGTTTACACCTAGAAAATTGCTAATTATTTTAAGAATCATCTAGGAACAGTAAATTCTTATACATCTTTTGAAAGAGTGTTTTACCCCAAATCATTTGGTATCCTTTTTGTGTGGTATGTGTTCAAGCTTGGATGAACAGGAGGAATTGTTTGCGATGATTTATAAAGTAATAAGCACATTTTCTAGGTGTAAACTTTTCCTTGACCCACACCGTAGAACTGAATTCTGAGGGTGCAACAATTTCTCAGTACTTCACACTGTAATCTGTTCAAAAAATATACAACATATTCTGCTAACCTTAAAATTGAAATCTACAAAGGCAAAAAGAATAAGATCAGCACATCATAAAATAACCATGATGACATGAGAAAACTGGTTCATTGTCTTGAGATAAGAAAAAAAAAGATAAATATAAAATCAGAAAGCTTTAATCAAAGCACAAATGTTAAGGATAAGGAATACACTTGATTACTTGTTATGTGTAGCTGAAATCACATAACTTTAAAAGGGACTGAAATTGGCAACACACACTGATATAGAATATAATGGATTACTTCATTATGGATAGTTATCCTATTCTGCCCACTGGGGATCTGACTAACGATGATAGATTTGAGCATGCAACAGTCTCCGGGAAAATCTTGGACGTGGACAGCGTAAATTGCCTCGAGAGTTGCTCATCTGTATAGCAGGCAAGGGGCTTGATTGGCTTTTATACAACCCTTGGGTCATCCTACCTCATTTGCATAATGACCCATCAATATTCTTGCCAGAGAGAAGGGTGGTGTGGAATATAAAGCGTGACAAATTAGAAATGAAAAAAAAAAATATCAGAAGATGGAGGAGACAGAGAAAGAGAGGGCATGAATTCTACGCTTGCTTCCTTCTAAAGTTACTGATGTGAAAGATGGATGCTTTATAACAAAGAATGATGCATTAATCATTAAATAATGTTGTTGATTAAACAAAAATATATAATAAAAAGGCAAGTATAGAATGGAATTGAGGTCCCTCATGTACTCACTATAATACATTTTACATGCTTGCACTAAAAAATTGACTAGCAATGTAGATAGAAATAAAAATCACCCCTTTGTCTGCCTGATCGTAAAATTGATTGAGTTTAAACTATGAATTTGTTATGCACAATTACACACAGGTAATGGGTAAGTTCAACAGGTTCAAAATACTTGTTAGTTAAAGAGATTGGTGAGTTCTGGATTAGGTGGAAATAATTTGCGAGCTTATTAATTTTCCTAAATGTTAGTATGAAAGAATATCATAGGAAACGAATTCCCCTAAAAAAAAAAAAGTTCTCAAATGCCCTCATATTGAAAATAAGACAATAAGTTGCTGAAGCCTTGGTTTCACACTTTCATGCCACACGTTTGCATAGTCCCTCATACACATGTGTGTACAATGCATGCGACATTCATAAAGGCTGAGCTAATTTTCTATTCAGTTTGAAGATTAAAAAACCTCACAGTATACAATAACTGTCATGTGCTACATAATAACCAACCTTTATGAACTGCTTGCCAGTACCTTTTACGATGCCATCACATGACGAAAGCTCAACTTTCTCTTGAAGGCACCACCCAAATTATAAAAAGACCTGACTTAACACAGTTTGAAGATCTACTGTATAAAATGAACTCAATAATCCTGGTAAATAAATAAAGTAATAACAATTGCAAGTAAATGCCTGGAAGAAATATCTATCAAGACCACAAGGTTATTGTCAATTGTGCTGAAAAGAATTGTGCCCCTTGTCTATAACACTCTAAAACTATTGGTCCTAGAAGGTATGGCTTCATCAGCTCAAGATGGCCAAATAGCCCGCTAAATAGGGAAATAAGCCCAAAGTTGCAAATCGCGTCTTCATCAGCTCGAGACTCGACCTCAAAACCCAAGCTCGAGAAATTAGCTCAAGATATTTTGCTGTGCGAGTCTTCAGGCTGATGAGGACGCATCGGACAAATAGCGAATATTTTGCATGATTATCTCGACCAAATATCCCGCTAATTGCAACAGCGGGCCGATGAAGACGCGAATTAGCTGGATAATTTGTGATCGGGATAATTAAAATAGCAGGTTACTTGGTAATCTCGAGCTGATGAGGACAGGCCTACAGATAAGAATAAAATTGACTTACAACTCAAAAGATTCTCCCCAGGTTGGGTTTAGATTTCCCTTGATGGTCTTGGTCTTCTTCTTAGTCTGATTCTTCTGATCGGGAATGAGTTTGAGCTTCACAAAGGGATCTGACAGACCGTTGGGGTCCATTGGAATTAGGTTCTTGGCTTCCTCAACTGTATAGAGAAAGGGGAAAGGAATACAGAAGATGAAATAAATGAATATATACATATTTTTGTGAGACAGATTCTGTTCAATACAAGCATAAATACATACATGTGAAACTTTCTAGCCACTTTTGGATGAAGGATTGATGTACCCACACAATGTTAACCCGCAGTATAATGAATTCTCTCGTTCCCATATGTACATGTGTATACATCAGTCACACCAACAAAACTGACCCTGTTTCTTCAAACTTCTTACCAAATTCTAGTTATAATAACAGTTATAAGCTACTGAAATCATGGAATTTGATTGGCTGAGAGCAACCTTGTCATTGAAATTTAGCATTTGTTATTGATAACAAGATTTTATGAAACAGGGCCTAGACCGACACCAGACCGAACTAACAATTGCATCCTCCTGAAGAGCCAAAAATCGGTCAGTTAGGAGTCAGTGTGATTGAGGTATTAATACAGGGACCCCCATGTTGGTTGTATTACTTGGTTTTTATAGAAGCAGACAAATGAGAGGAACAGGTCAGTGAGAGTTTGAGCAAAACCTGATCAAAAACAGGAAAGTTATGAATTTTCTAAGGTGCGCTCAATCAAACGCCAATTAGTAACTCTGTGACGAATTTGGCTCTGTACTAAAAAAAAAAAATCAGAAATGTCTGTTGTTGACCTAAAGAAAAGATCAGTTTTGGCAAAGACATCAAATCAGTTTTGGTTTCCCTATGTATAGCTTCTTTGAAAATGTGATATAAAAGTGGTTTATGGCTAGTTATGACTGGAAAAGGATCATTACTTGCAGCTTTAATGACAAACAATGGTATCATTAATTAATGTCTAATGTCTGTGTCAATCTTCAAATATGGCACTTGACTGTATCAACCAACCCACACAGTATGTAAACTTGGTACGTATTAAGGGTTAATGGACTGGAACACATTGCAGTTTTAGGTTGAAATGTGTTTGTAAACGCAAATAGAAACAAAATAAAACACAAAGGCTCATTTTTAGATCCTTCCTAACAAAAGTTCTATACAAAAAAACCCTCAAGCTGAGTCACATTTATTTCTAAAAGATCATTTTTGGCAAAGACATCTAATCATTTTGGGTTCCCTATGTATAGGTATTATGAAAAACGTGACATAAAAGTGATGAATGGCTAATTATGACTGGTAGGATCATTACTTGAAGCTTAATTGATAAACAATGGTATCATTAATTACTGTCCTACTTTAGTCCATGCCAATCTACAAACATGGCACCTGGTATCAGCCCATGTGCCAATACACAAACTTGGTACATAAAGTTGCAGTTTTAGGTTAAATGTGTAGATAAATGCAAATAGAAACAGAACAACAGACAAAAATTGTAATAATTATGATATTGTTTACATCAGAAAGTGTTTGGTCCCCAGGATAAGATTGACCTATATTTGAACTTGACTTAAGAATAAACACAAATCCTTGAGCAGTGGATATCAATACACTTGGAATCTGTAGTAATTTCCCGTTCAGGAAGGAAGCACTTCAAATAGCTTTCCTGTTCTGGCTTTCCTGTTCTGGGTAACCCTTGGCAATAATGAGCATTTACTCTCCACTGCTTGAATTTCTATCGACTTATTTGACATTCACACTCAAATCAAGTTTGGGCTTCAAGCATTTCGGAAGTTATATTGCCCAAATCACCCATACAGGTACTGCCCCACCTCAAGTATTTGTTTGAGCCACATCTATTATTGCTGTGTTATAGCTTTCTACATGTACTATGAAATTTTATTTTTACTGTTCTGTATAAATGTTATGCTTTTTGATATAAATAAGTTCATAATTATTCAGGGCCCCATGGAAGACTACTACTTATTGGTGAATAGGCTACCCTGACAAAAGATTAGAAATAAATAAATAAATACAGAGGCACTACAGTGAAAGTTAGCGAGTTAATAAACAGATATCAAATATATCAACTTTGTTATAATTATGTTGAAGTCTCTTTTCCTCTATTTGAAACTTCCATTCACATCAACAACTTGGTTTTGGTTTCAGACTCAATCTACAATGTCCTAATTTGGAAATGATTTGGAAACTACAGTATTGTAATACTTAAGCATAAATATTGTAAGAGGGACCTGAAAGAAATGTGAGATCCACATTACCACAAGAAATAAAGAGAAAAAAAGAGGAAAAAAAAGAAAATGCTGAGGAACTGAATGATATGTTATCACTTCATGAACAATTCACTGCACAATATTCGTCCCTGGATAAGTTTTCTTTGTCATACTATTTTTTAATGTGAAAGACAAATGTAGAGAGACAGTGATATAAAGGAGCAGGAAGACATTCCCCTGCTGAGAGCAACAAAGATGTTAACTTATAATGTAAAAGTATGAGTTAAAGACCTTTTGGCTCTGAGCAGATACCACGATACAGAGGGGTATTGAAAGAGGAGATAGAGAGAAAGAAACACACACAAACACACAAAGAAAACAAAACAGAGAAAAGTAGAGAGAGGGGTGGGGAGAGAAAGAAACTGAGAGATATATTAATAGACAGACGCAGAGAGAGAGAGAGAGAGAAATAAATAAATACAGAGAGAGTGAAAGAAATAGAGAGAGAGAGAGAGAGAGAGAGAGAGATGGGGCAAGTATGGGAGAGAGAGAGAGAGGGAGTGAGGGAAGGAGGAAAAGGGGGTACTTACTTGATTCATGACACTACCATTTTAACAACCCCCTTAACAACTATTTGCTATGACTACTGACATAAAAATCCATCAATTTGGAAACTCATACATAATCTCCCTGAAAAAAAAAGATTATTTCTTAAACCCTAGAAAGAATTAATTCAATAATAGATCAATGAAACCATCCATTATTATTTCATATTCATATCAGGGATTTACAGTCCTGTATTTCAAGGGAGGCCCTCAGACGATGTTTTTTCCCTGATTAAAATGTACAATCCATCTTGGCAAGAATTTTCAAAGAGGTGGTAATAGTCTTGAAGGTATTAGTCATTAATCTCAGCATACCGGTCATCAACCCTAGAATGATATTCAAACCTGTTTGTACCATTACTTTCTAGGGTAGAGAAACCACATGACATTGCAACATTAGCAAGCTCATGAAAGAGTAGCTATAATTGACAGGTTTTTTTTCTTCCAGATTCAAAGATTTGAAAAATGAATCCTTGATGAATATCTTTCATATTAACCCAATGAAAGTCAGAAAGATGTAAGAATTGCCAAGAAAAACCTCTCAATACAACTACTAGATGAAAAGTGCCACCTGACTGCAATGTTGAACAGATAAGATTAGATTCTGCCTGCCATTAAATTGGGCTTCATCTCACTCCTGGGACCTGTTTCACAAAGCCTTTTTTCAATGACATATGACTAAAATCAGTGACAAATCTGCTGATAACTAATCAGAAGCAAGGATTTTAGTAGCTTATAACAACGACTATCATTTGTCACTGATGCTAAGTTTTGTGAAACACCCCCCAGTTGTTTTTCAAATTTTCATTGGATCCAGATAATGAAAGGAAATTGGATCAATATCAGTCAGAATCTGTTGTAACATTCATCTTCATTGAATCTAATTCATGGTATGGATACTTTAATTGGATAATGAATGATGCATAATGTATGTTAAGGTTTATGAATACACAAGTACGGTTGGGGCCTTCAAATAGGCAGAAACGTCTCAAGAAGCTTTAAAGGAGGGTACTTTAAAGGGATCCGGTAACTTTGTCTCAGATTCCGAAACAAAATCCTGGATTTAGCTCATGCTGCAATGATAATTATAAACCTTAGGTCAGTCAGGAACCCCATGACTTTTACTAGCCGATTGCCTGCCTGATTATCAAGATACTTATCATTGGAAATCGGAACCAAATTTTGCTCTTTTTTTTCCCTAACGGTTTTCATAACACTACCGTCTACTGGGGCAAACGAGTATGTTAAAACCGGTCACTCAAAGATTTTTACTTTTTTGAGGCACTTCTTGATTTTTTAGGGCTTCATTATTACACCATCTCACAGACACTTTTAACATCTAGGGCCGTGCATCTCAGATTTAACATTGTTAAACGATCCCTTTAAGAACCATTCAACATCAGGGTATACTAGAGGATATCATCTGACATCTAGTCAGCAGGAAGGATCTAGGGTGGGGGTCATAGGGGTGTTGACCACCCCTTTGTTTATTGTCTGAGATTTTGAGTACTGGGCCCATTTTAGTGCTTGATTATATATATTGCTTAATTGTCAGACTTTTAGGCTGATCCACCACATCCAAAGGGGGAAGATACTAGGGGGTCACAGGGGTGTTGATCTACCTTAATATCTGTTTGCTTGTCGAGACTTATGGAGGAGGGGACCCCCCCCCCCCCCCCCCCCCCCCCCCGTCCCCAATCCCCATTTAAAAAATCCTGTATCCATCCCTTGTAAGATTATCAAATGCCTTTAATACAGAAATATTATACAGCTATCCTAAAGCAAAAATGTGATTGGGAATACTCCTCTCCACATCCTCTCCACTGCTCCCCCCCCCCAAAAAAAAAAAAAAATTAATCCGGCCATGAATGAATGCTGATATGGTGTCATATTGGTCATGGTACATTTCTTTACCTGGTAAATGGCAGGGTATAGTTTCATCACTCATGCATTCTTACATGAATGGGGTGGAATTGGGAGGGGGATTGGTAGGGAGAGAGGGGTGACAGTAAAACCAAAAAAAAAGGGGGGGGCACAAGTAATGGACCTGTTACAACATCACACACTCAATTCTTATGTCCAGTTAAGGTCTTGATTTAGTTGATAGCAAGGTTAGAGAGAGAGAGAGAGAGAGAGAGAGAGAGAGAGAGAGAGAGAGAGAGTGACAGAGAGGGGGTTGGGGTAGGAAGAAATGGGTTAAATAGGGTGGTGAAGATAAAAACAGGACATCGCTCATACATTATTAAAACCTTCTGGATGGGAAAGGGGTGTTTGGATGACAGAAGGTTAAGGGT